GGTTGCCGAGTTCACGAAGTGAATTGGCTTGTTTTACAACGTCGTTGGCAAGCGACGAAAATCCAACCCCGATGGCAAACACCAGTGGGGTGGGGGGGGAGGTGGTAAAAAGAAAACTTAAGTGTGACCCCGACTGGTCGAATGCTTTGATTCCGAAGCGTGTAGCAAATGTACTGGTGCTGAGAATGTAGACGATGAAGCGACAAATCCAGATGGGAATGCGTCTCCGAATGCAGAGACCTGGTTCATGTCCTTGCGGAATGTCTGTTGTACAAGAAGGAGAGTGAAATACACATGACTGAGCTGGGAAAGTTAGAAGGAAAAGGTACAGAGAGATGTTTGACGCAACGAATAGCCAGAAGACAGTAGCTGTACCGGGGTGGAACAGGCGGGGAGTGATATCGATAGGATAGATAGGCTAGGACAACATTTTTGAGCCACCTTTATTAGTATTCCGAAGAAGGAAAGAACGATTGGCCATCGGTAATCGGTCCTCGTGGAGCATTGATGCGTCCTCTCGAGGAAGTGTGATCATCAATGGTCTAACCACTAAGGCATGCGAAACATTAGAAAGAGAACACCCTCCCCCCGCGCGAGTACAAGCTTTTTGTCACGAGCTTCTCCCCCCCCCGGTTCGAATCTAAACCTTGCTGCAGTTTGGGTGCACCTCTAACCTTCCTGAGTTATTATGGTGCAGCCGCAACGTTTTTGGGCTGCGTTCTAATCTGTGTGCGCATTGGTACACCGCAAGGGCAGGTTTTTGTTCTTAATGCCACGTCGGAACTGAGCACCTGTTCATATGACCAAGTTCTTAGATTTTGGATTGTTTGAGGATCAAGTTCTTAACTGCTGAGTTTTTCATTTCGTGATGGCGCCTTCTGTAGCCTCTGGTTCTCTTGTGCCAGTTGTTCATTGGTGCTGTGCGCGGTACTCGTGAGTTGAGAAAGTTGTTCCCGCTCCTGTTCCGCTAGCTACAGTGGTATTGGTCCTGGAGCCCGATTCAGCACATCTTGATTTTTTTCTCGGTCTGGCCCGTCATCAAACCCAACAAATTATATATCAAATGAAAGCTACGGACCATAGCTTTCGAATGCAGCTATTTTCATCTTTCACAACATACCTTCCTCGCGACTTATGTATATCTGAAGTTGGGTAGGAGAGGGCGGCGGGGATGCAAAATGGCTATTTGCGGGACCCCGAGGTGGGTTGTGAAAAAAACAAAACGTGTTTTTGGAATCCTCGTGAAAAACTGGTTCTAGGACGTTTGTTCCGAAACGCAACAATGCCGGGCCAGAACCCGAAAAAAATCAAGATGTAAAATTCAAAAATTGTGCATCTGGACACACTGCTGGGTTGTGCGGGACAGAGACCACGAAAGATATGGACTTCGATGATGAGGACTCACAGGAGTACAGAGACGTGCAGAGCACCCTTCCGGACGGATACACCATTCGCAAGGTCGCCATCGACAGGAAAACCGCGCGCAAGTACCGTCTCACAATAGCCGTTACCTCTGCTGGTGATGCGGACCGGCTGAAGTGGCGCAGCCGATGGATCACAAAGGGGAAACCGCGTGCGCGGCTGGCTTCTGCCGAGCGTGAGTGCATCGATGAGCTGTCGCTCTTGACATGGTTGGACCTTCAGGCAATGAGCGCTACTGCTGAGGGTGTGCCAAGCGCACCTACGCGCGACGGCATGCTGCGAGATGCAGCCCCAGAACCTGGTTCTCTCAAAGAACCTGGCGTTGGAGGCACACGGAAGAGGCCGCGCAACGCATGTTGGGGTGGCACCAGAGAGGGCGCTGGACGAATGAAGGGGAGCGTCGGCAAGAGGGCCACACGGGAGCGAGCTATTGCCTTGCGGCAGCAACTCACGCAGGCCATCCCCGACGCTTTTGAACTCTCCTGTTGGCAGCTGGAGGAAGCCTTGGCAGTGTGGAAGGAGATCGAGCCTGAGCTTGTCGACAAGGCCAGGAAGAAATTCCTGAACAAGGGGTACAGCCAATCGCAGGCGCTGAAAAAGATGAAGCGCGCTCGAGATGCGGAAGCGAGGGTGGTGATGAGGGATGTGGTGGCCCACGATTTTCGTGAAGAGCAGCTGAAGTACTTTGCGAAGGTCAGGAGGGACGCTGCGGTGGTCATCAGCGCATCAGCAGTCGAGGAGGAGGATGATGTGAGTTTTCATAAATGCAATTAAACTGCACAAAG